GCCATTATCTCTAAAATAACGGTGTTGAGAAGTAGATGCATCCTTCATCTGTCTAGGGAGCAGGGTGGAGGGGAAGTTGCACAGTTGTACAGCCAGGACCAGTGTGCACAAGCATGCAGTGGTGGCAGAAGACAGAGCGGGAGCCCTTTTCACTCACCTCCTTGATTCTTCTGCTTAAAGTCAGGGTGCCCTTGTAACCAAGGGCCTGCTCACTTGCTACAAGCCGACACAATGTTGACTATATTTCTGACCCAGCTGGAAATGATGGTTACACCTATCTGAGCAAATTACAGTGCTGGAGCTGAATCATCCACTCTGCTCAGGGTGAGAGTGTGCTCCTCATGCACTTACATCCTGTGCCAGCTCCACCAGAGAGTCCCCAGCATCTCAGGGCAGTGCCACAGAGACCTTTCCCACAGATGCCATGGGGTCACCCTGTTTTGGAGACTGAGAGAATCACCCCTTCGGCTTGTTTCACATGACAGTATTCCTGAGCATGTTTAATTTACTAGTGCAATTTTGGCCAAAGTCAGCTCTGAACCAGAACGTATGTAGCTGTACTTAGGCAGTGCTTGAGCCCAAACTAATAAAACCTGCTGAGGGGCAGGATGTATTAGCTTGGGTTCAGTGCTGTGCTAACATGGCTATATGGCTTCCAGATGGCTCAGAATTTAGTCAGAGCTATTGCCTGCCAAAGTCCATACATATATAAATATAAATACATATATCCTAAGTACCCTCACTATAAGGACAGTAACGAAGGTGATTTTGCTTCTGATACTTTGCCTTGTAAATACCAGATCCATCAAGAGATTTAAAGGTAACAACCCAGTATCATCTTCCAGAGTACTTGATGGCTACAATGGTCATGTAAGTTAGGTGTCGAGGTTGTCTAAGGGCAGCTGCGTGATAAGACTGGTAACATTTAGGGTGGTAACAGTGAGGCCAAGACCAATGTAAAATATGCAGCCAAGTACATGAAGAAGCCAGGGCGCTGCCACAGGTTTCTGTGGGTTGAAAGCAAACCAGCCATTCTATGCAACAGTGAGGATATGGTCCTGTTGCCTTTCTGAAGGTTTAGTAGGAGAAAGGGACCTTAGAAGAACCAGACTGAAAGGAAAAGAGGCAAAAAAAGAAGAGCATGTTTTTTAATTTCTCCCCCATCATCTCTGGAGAAGAACCTCACCTATCCTTCAAGCAGCATGGAGGGTTAGGATCCAAAACCTATTCCAAGGGACACGCATCAGAGTGTACCCAAATACATGCTGGAGGAAGAAATGGCCTTCCCCAGGTTCCACTTGTATCAAGGAAGCTATTTCTTTCAAGTTTTTCTTTGCTCTGAGGAAAAAAATCCTGCTGCTTTCCCACCTCAAACAGCAGGAATGCCCAAAGAAACCTTCCATGGACCTACATGGTAATAAAAATCACCTTAATCAGCTTTGGTTTTTCAGAGTTGCCAACATGTTCTTCCCCACCAACATGCTGGTGGATGGAAAATAACTGAGAGTTGCAGCAATCTAATAAAAGGCAAGAACTACATGAGTGTGGGGCTACCCAGGACGTTGTATTGAGAGCTCTGTATTTGGAACCTCTTTTATTCTGTGGGTCACCAACAGTCATTGTTACATGTTATCTCCTTCTCCCATTTTCTATAAACAATGCTAGACTCTCTTCAGCAATGACATAAACAGAAAAAGGACTACTCTTGTAGCTGTTTATACTCCTTCAGCAAAAGTGATGTTTAGACCATTGCTAACTTCCAATTATAAAAATGCTAAATATTAATAAAATGTGCTGATTCACTAGAACTGTTTTAAGTCTTAGGAGACATATATTATATATACAGGAGAAGTTTTGCATGGAGCTTTTTGAATTGTTTCTGCATCTGCACTGATTTTATGCTGCAATTCATCTGACACCCATGCATCCATCAGTGTGAAAAAGATCACCTATTGTTTTAAACACCGCAGAGAGTTTTGGTGTCAAGAGGAGGGAATTGGCTGAAAGGGGATGCTGCAGAATGTTGAGGAGACATTAAAAAACAGAATCAAAAAACCATGATCCTTAATTTACCACAGCCCAAGAGAAACAGTGCATTATATGTTGACAGCTTCCATATGTGTCATGCAAACCTTTATTCTTACTGTTCAAAATAAAATGTCACATTAAGAGAAAAAGTGTACATTTCATGTTAAAAAGGGATGTATGATACCAAATACTGTCTTAAAGAAAAAGGAAAATACATTCCAATGTCATGCGGCTTTTTGTACTTTTTCAGGATTTTCAAAGGGAGAAAAATATTAATTACAACAACCAGACATTCTTCCAAAGTTGTTTTTTCGCACTGTTATATTAAATAGTTACAATTTCTTTTTATTCCTTATGTAGACATTATTATTACTTACGCACCATCTTCAGGGATCCAAAGAAATATATCTACACAAGTAATTGCCTAAAAAGTCTCTGAAAGATAACTATAAGAAATTATTTTTAATGGTAATGATAACAAATAGTAGCACCCTGGAGTCTCAGCAAATATTGACACCATATTTTAAAGGCGCTTTAATGAATAAATCTAAAAATTAATATGTATTTACAGACTTGATTATCCAGGCCCCTAGTGGCACCTAAATATCTCAAACAGGGATCCTCTTACTTAACAGAATACCATTTAGTTTAATGGTCTGTTGCAATAGAAAGGTTAATGGATCAGGTCTTATAAATATCTCTCCAGTTACGGAGGCAGAACTCCTCTACCTCCTGTGAACTCAGCTGACAGCTGGAGGCATGGAGAAACATCCTTCAGACCTGCAGGGCCTGAAGTTCACTTGAGCCAAAGGAAGTTTTTTCGGTTGATTTGAACCAGTCTCTGAGCTTTCACAGAAAACTGGTTGGAGGGAAGGTGGGTGGGGTTTTCTGGGTTACAAACCAAGTCCACTACACACTGAGTCATATATAAAAATTCATGTTCCATCTGTACACAAATGTGTCATTCAACTGCTGGTATTTCTAATAGCTTCCAGAAGTAACAGCAACCCAATAAAAATAATCAAAGCCTTAAGAGCAAAATTGTAAGACTATGAAAGGATGATTTTCCTTATGCTAAGCTGAAGTGGTGCAGCAGAGGTCTTCCCTATAGTTTTGAAAACTTTAGTCCCTAGAAGGGCACTCTTCTTGCATGAATAAGCTGAAAAGGGAACAGAAAGTAAGAGAAAAGGGGAATTCCCTCCTCAGCCAAGCAGCTGTGTTGAGAAAGTCAAATAAGTGAGGTGCAAAAGGTAAGGCTGCTTATGGTTTTGGAATTTAAAACAGAAAATTATTTACCACCTTCCTGATCTTGGGAGTAGGACAGGGAAAATATTTACGCGAACTATTCTTTTGCAATTTCTTCAGTGCATTAACCTAAAAGTTTCCTTTTACCCATACAAACTTTCCTGCTGTTTACTGAACGGATATAATTTTGAGGCTAGAACCAACTGATTGGTGGTTCCAGGGTTTCTTAATGAATGTCTTTCATGTATATTTAATTTTCAACAATTTCTATATTTGAATCTCCTCAAAATAAAAAAGCCAAGGATGGAGTTTATTCTGGAGCAGAAAAGTTGGCCAGAAGGCAGTCCACCTAATTTGGATGCCTGATGGAAGTGTCATCTCCTCAAAATTTTAAGGGCTTTAAGATGGCCTCACAAAACTAGGCTGCCTAAGAGATCCACTCCCCATACAGCCCAAGCTCAGGTGTGGTGCCTACAAATGCTGATTGAAGGCATCAACAACATGGTCTACAATGCATTGCTGCCTCCTTTTTCCACTTACTGTACTCCTACAGTATAGGTAATATTAGATGAAATGGTTGTCTGCTCTGGTGCAAGCCTGCCAACTCTGTTTTTAAGCATCATGCCTAAAGGACAGTTTTTGCATAACTCTCCAGCAGCCAGGGCACTTGCTGAAAAAGTACGAGATGCTTTGTTCACAGCCCAGCCGAGCCCGAGGGAGAATTTAGATCAAAACCAATGAGAAAATGTAGACAGAACAAAGAAAGAAGAAAAAAATATTAATCCTTACACCAGGGTTTCTTCTGCTACTCATTAACATTATGTCAGCTAAGGTTTAGATTAACTGGCATCATAGATTCTTTGACCTCTGACATAAAAAGCTCTTTGACAAGAAAGAGCTAAATCTGAGAGTTTGCTTGTAAAGTAGTATAGATTAAGTGAACCATCACAGAAAAAACAGTCTATAAGTCTCTTTTTATTAGTTTCCAAAGAAGTCTAAGTAAAGAACATTTCTTCTAAAAATATTATTTTGCATGGAGATGCATTTTCAATTTTAATGAAGAGCATAACTGTGAATAATGCAGTAGCGCAGTAAATTTGTATTAAAATCCCCACAGCTCTGATTTCAGTTTTGATAGCGGTTTTTCTAATTTTCAGTTAATTAAAATTCTCAAGATTTCAAATTTTTAACCCATTTCAAGATAAAAAAAATTAATAATATTATTTTTTTCAAATTACAGAAAACCAATTCCCACATTTCCCTATTGTTAACCTTTCTCCAATATCAGTATCAGCAGCTATGAGATACCTTCTGAACTGTCCTGAGGTTATTTTGTAACTTTCTCCATTCTTCATCTCAGAAAATTCTTTAGAAACTTTCTAAAACAAAAATTCTGCAAATCTGCCTCAGTTTCCTGAATGTAATGATTAGTGGAAGAACATTAAAATGGAACTTTATTTTATATGTAAGAGTTTTCAGCCCAAACCTCATTTAATTTCACTTGATTCAGTCAGCTTTATAATTGCCATATTCTCCAGAACTAAGAATAATAGGAAGTTTGCATACCATAACTACAGCAGGATAAGACTTTTGTTCTTTGCTTATAAGCTCTCAGTGGATTGTCACCCAGTCAAGTTAAAAAAACACAAAACACCCATCCAGAAAAGATTCCTAGCAAGATATGACAAGAGCATATAGGGTTTTATAATCTACAGTTTCAATCTTACCGTCCTCTGTCTCAGCGCAGAGTTGCAAACCCAGATTGTTCAGTGGATTAATCACCCAGTGATTGCTGGTCACAGTAATGTCAAAGACAAACCAGCCCACATCAGAAGCTTGAGCCTTTCTTGTGTCTAACAGGAACAAGTCTGCATCCCTAAGTTAAAGAAAATGGAGAGTTAAGGCATTCAAATATTATTATTTTTTGTCCTTAATTTTCTTGCTGGCAATAACTTCTTGGAGTCTAAATGAATAATCCTTTGACATATCCTCATCATGACACAGTACAACATGTGCTGTAGCTAACAAGTAATTGTTACGTATAATAAAGGTATTTTCCCCAAGAGGCCTTTCTGAAATGAGTCTCAGCATGTAAAAATTACAGCTATGGAAAATCTGAAAAATCCAGCTTCCTGATAGAAATACACAAAATATATAATTGAGGCTGTGTATAAAGAATTCATCTTTCACCATTAGAATGTCTTAAGAAGATTAACTTTTGCAAACCTTTCAGTGTAAAAGACAAAATATGTCAAAACCTTGTTCCAATTTCAACAAAAATTCAAAGGCATAGCATTGCTAAAATGATCTGTTGTTAATAACATATGACAGCAGCGGTATGCTGTGACAAAACATGAATAGACGACAGTTCAGATCATTTCCTATTAGTGTTGATGTTTAGAAAATATCTCTATATCAAAGCAGAGATTATGTATCTATTAATAAAGTAATTATTGCATTTTAACCCTCAGTTCCCTGGTATAGTCTTAAATTTGTTCCTATGAAATCTCCCCATAATTCAGAAGGGTTGCTCAGACAAGTTAGTATAATTGTGTTACTAAATTTTTACCATGGGTCATTTATTTGTTTTGTTTTCACATATCTCCTAACACAATTGGTTCCAGAACAACATCTGTATTGCAAATAATTTGCTACAATGACCACACTAAACCCAAGATATTTAACTCTCATCAGTTTTGTTGTACATGCTTCTGCAAAGCAGGAAGCATTATTAAAAACTGTTTTCACCATTTAATCTTTTAAACCTAAATCTATAGGTATAGAAACCTATTTATTTTCTTCCATAAATAGTAATCAAAACAATAAGATACAAAACCAAATGTTTTATTTTAAATTTTAACTGTACAAGTCAACTAAAGACAGTCTTGGCTTACACAGATCTGGGAATCATATTGTTGCTTTACAGACAGAATGACTATATGCTTAAATAGGAAAGACAGAAATAGTAGGCTTTGTGTCTAAAAGTAGGTTTAAAATACCTGTGGTCCTGTCACTGTATTTTTATGGTGTTTAATTGCAATGGCAACTAAGAAAGTTACTGTCTTATCTAGATTAAACACCGTAAATGCACCTAAAATGTCTGATACTGAAAAAAAGCATTATCTGTATCCCTTGAAGCTGTAGTTGCTTAACACTGAGGAAAATAAAGCCAAATAAGCTATGACAAACATATGTTTACTTACATGTATATGTAAGATATATCTGCAGAATCAGGTTAAAGAGCTCAAAAATTATAAAGGAAGATTGTTTTTAAAAAAGGAATTGAAGGGGCTTTCTTTCAAGTCACCATTTTTTTTCTTCTGTTATAGGATAATCTTTTGCTGGTCTTTTATCACTTCCATTCTAGAACTGTGCTAATGACCACACAAGGAGAAAACAATTGCATTCCCCTTCTAGAGCTAACATGAAGAAAATGTTACAATTCCAAAGAACCTGATCTACTCTGCAAGCACTGAAGAAATTAACAACGTACCACAAGCTCATAAATAGTACTCTCTGGAGTCTTAAATGCCAACTTTTTTCTCTAATGAGCAGTTTATCAGAATTTTAAAGTGGAAAAGTTTAATTCTGACTGTAATAGTCTTTGATATGTTTATTTATAAATATTTTTTGTGTTACTCAGTAGATTTAATACAAAACTGTAAAATTGCTTGGAAAATATTAAAATATCACAATGATATAATTTCACACTTTTCTCCTCCTAGAATACATAGTTGTTTTCTGATATAGATTCTTTCCATTCCAAGTTTTGCTGGGACTGATATGAAATGCTCTCAAAAGCCAGGATGTACAACGCCTCACAAGCCAAATCAGAATAGGGCACTACTACTACTACAGTCCAGAAATTCTGCTGAAGGACAAATTTCCCCTGTGGATCTCTCCTCAGGGTGATATTTACCACTTTGCAATGCAGCAGAAACTCACACCAAAGTGTCTTTGGCATTGGCCAAGATAATAGACTCAAAACAGGCAGAATGCTCTTACCCATTAACTCTGCAAATGAAACTAAAATGAGTTGTGAATACCCAGAGAAAACCAGAACTGATCCTTGAAAATACATAGAGAAAGTGTCTCTGTACCAATGCTAATTATTTAGCCTACATAACAGCAATTTCCTACAGAAATCCAAAGTATCTGACAGGGAAAAAAATAACTTCTTTTAGAATTGATACAAACATAGGGCAAAAACTTGACCCCTGAGAAGGCAGTGAGAGCTCTGGGATCAGGGTTCTCCCATTAGCTCATGTTATTACCTCAAACTTCTCATCCCATTTTATGGCATTTTTAATTTTAAAATTCTCCATTATTCTGTGAAAAGAAAAAAACCTGTCATGCTTAAAACAGCTGCAAATTTTGTCTGTAATTTAAAAAATATTTATATTTAAAAGATTGCCCACAACACATAATAAAAAATTTAGTCATTATGTCATAAATAGCCTGAAATGCAACAGTGAACACATTCAGGCAGAATACAGCTGATTTCCTTTACCTTTATGGAGGCTGTTTAAGTTTGGTATCTAGTTCCAAATTACCAGTTGTCTACAGGAGAAATGCAACCACAGTCAAGAATTTCAGCAAAGAGGCTACGGGCAGAGCGTCTGAGAAGCTCCACGTGTCCGGGGTCATTCAAGGAAGTAAAGGTGGAATAAACCATCTATATGTTCCTTGAAACCCAGAACAGTTTTTGATCAGATCAAGTCATGATTACTAATAGGCCATCCTGATAATGCTGTTTCACCTCACACCTCATTTCAGAAAGCTGCTTTTCTATCTTAATGCCACTTGAAGATTCCCTAATGTGGAAAGAACCCTTGGAGTTTACTTATATTAGTGGCTAGCTGCCATCAAATTGTGGACTATATTCACTTTCACCATGAGAAAAAGTCCAGGTAGGAGTACCTTGGCAGGTCTGTGTAGGAAAGTTAGCCTACCATGGGCTGTGCTGTACATGCTTCCTTAGGAAAAATAGAAAACTTCACTCCCAAAGACTGGAATTTCAGCAAACTCCAAGGGAATTAAACACACACACATTTGAGTAGCCATGATGCCACAGAGACAGGAAAATGCCTGAGACTACAGCATAATCCTTAGTTTGCAACTTGGAAACCCTGAACCCTGGCCACTTCTTGCCTAGAAGCATAGCAGTACTGTGTTTGGGATTGCAGAGCCCTGTCAGACACCCATGTTTCCTGTTCAAGGCAAAGAACCCTCACCCACTCTCTCCATGGGCAGATTATTTGGTGAGCTTGGACATAAACCTGGAATAAATTACATTCAAGATCATTTTAATTCTTTCTCAGCGTTTGTTGTTGTTGTCTAGGAATTAATATTGCACAAGCCATGGTGATAACAGGGATGCCTTACTAGGTGTACACTCATGATCAGTTATTGTCTCCCTACTTAAGAAACACATGAGATGGTATTCAACACGTTATGTGTTCATGCTGAGCAGGTACCTGTTTGGATACTCCTTGATGATCTGATATATGCTAATCTGAATGGTTTCATTCTCAAAGCGGCTGTTGCTTCGATCTTTGTATATTCGGAACTCGGCTGCTGTCACTGCCTCTCCATGCGGGATCTGAGTAAGGTCAAAGCGAAACTCTTTATAGTGCCTTCGCTGGTGGGAGAAGTCCTTGTCCCTTTCAACTGTGAGAAAAAGAGTTCAGTGTAAATTAAAGATGTGAAACGAATGCCCATTTCCCATGATTAATGGAGCGTTCCTTCTGCTTGGGAGTAAACAAACATGACAATATAAAACTGTGCAAATAATAAAACCACAAGCCCAGACATACTTCCAGTTAAAGGAAATTCCACCAGCCCAGTGTCTTCAGTTCAAAAGAAAAAAAAACCTTGGTGGCTTTTATATAAATTCCAGAAGTTGGAGTGGAAAGAATATAAAAAAAAAAGCTGAAAGGGGGCATGTTGTAAAGTAACTAGAAATATGGACAAACTAAAAGCTGTGAAAGGATTTAGGACTTCAATGTAGTCATAAGCACAGCAGTAGCAATGTCAGAGCTATAGATGACTTTGGAAAACACTAATTGCCACTAATAACCAGGCAGATGAGAGGAATGCTGTTCATTTCCGTTTAACATAATAAATTTTAAAGTGGTACTAAAGTGTACTGCAACAACTATATATTTAAGAAGCAGTTAAGTCATATAAATTAACACAAGTTGTACTCTGATGGCATACATGTTATCTTGCCAGTGTCAGAAGAAGGAGCCATGAGCCAGGGCTGAGTGGTTCTGACATCTCAGCAGCATAGGAAGCACAGTCCTGGCTTGACAAGTCCCCTCAAACCTGGGTGGGCAGATGCAGGTTTTCACTGCTTATGACACTGCCACAATTTAAAGTTAAAAAGTAAACCTCATTATTGCCTAATTCAGAATTCTACAGAATGTAAGAGGGAGTAAATAGAGGATTTTAATTTACTTGAGTTTATAACTGGTTTGGGTCTAATTCCGCTGTCTGCTGCCATTCTGACTGAGTTAGGAGCAACTTTTGCAATGGAATATATGTTTTGATGTGTCAACGGAAACTACAGGCCACAGTACTGGCTGATGAACACCTTACGGGATTAATACTTCAGATTTTAAGGATGTGGAATGGAAAATGACGCAGGGTTTCCACTGCCACAGTATACAACATATCATTGACCTTTGAAGAAGCTGTGCTTCATCGGAAGACAGAATTTCTCTCTTCTGGAGAAGTTCTACCTGCCTTGTGAGACAGGTGTTTCGTTTTACTGATGGTGGACAAACCTAAAACTCAGAGCTGGGATTTGGTTTAGATAACCAAATGACTGCACCCAGCTCCACTAAATGCTCCCTCCTGTAACCCCTGCTCTTTTATTTCATTTTAGTCCTCAGATCTGAGGGAGGAACAATGTCAGTTCTGAAAAAGCTCTCATTTGGATTACTAAATGCTACATGTATAAATAATGTGTAAATTATTACAATATTTATGTATATTTATACTTATATGCTCATATATAAGTGCCTCCCAAGAAGTTTTGTCTACATATACAATATGCATGTGCTTGCATATAGATACATATAATTATATAATTTATATATAAAGCTGCATATCTGTTTATTATAAAGTATATGTTGTCTTAAAAAATACAAATGCACTAAAAGAAAAAGAAAATATCATTTTGAGCTTGCCATATAAGAGTACAGTTACGGACATAATAAACTGAGAGCTATTGAAGGAAAAGTATTTAACATTATTTTCAGAGCAGTAGTTACTAGTTAAAGTCACCTGTGGTCGTATAGTTGTCCTTTACAGTGTACTTCCCTTTCACTCTTTCAAAAATGTAAACTCTCTTTGTTTTTATTAGCTTTTTTTTTCTTATGTACAAATCTGTGTTGCCTTAAAAACCACCAAAAATAAAATATATAGGATATAAGAACACTTTATCTTCAGTGAAAATTAACTTTCTCCTGGCTGACAAAAGGAAAATTGTCTGTTAACTGTGAGGTTTACTTGGCTCAAGTGCATATTTAGCTTACTTGGGTTTGCCATGGAACACTATGTTGCAAAAGTAAAACAGAAAAGAGGTGGAAGCATGTGAACTGGCTGCTCTGTACCTGAAGATGAATGGGCTGCTGCTGAAGAGAAACAGGATACAGTCTATTTAGCAGCTCCACTGACCAGTTCTAAACTGTGGGATATATACAGAGGTCTGACTTGAGGTTTGGGAGTTGTTGCTTTTTTTTTTTAAATGTCCATGTAAAGCCTTTCATTTCAGAGAGCACTTGGCAGAGATTAGCATATGCAAAAGCACTGAGCCAAGAGGCTTTTTTCTAGTGCAAAGAGTCTGCTGCAATTTTCTAAGGTTATAACTGAGCATTTCAAAATTGACGCGGAACAGATACGTCAATAATCTTCAAATGAGACTATATTAAAGACAGACTTAATGTAGCAACTCCATATGTATGTGTGACTAAGCACTACACACTATGAGTAAACACTGAAGAATTAGACACTGAATAAAAGTGCCTAATGCCGCTGCATAAATAGTACCACAATAAAAGTTTAAATGCCACTAATCCTGGTCTGATTTATTGTTATTTGGATTTGAGGTTTCCTTTTGTCTAGTTTCTACTAAGTACTTTCTAATTAGTAACATTAGTTTAGAAACAGCAGTTCTCTCCCTGTATGTTATAGTTTGGACACAAACTTCTAAAATACCTTTCAATTGCATTGGTGGGGTTCTCTCAGGACCACTCATGACTGCTGAAAGAATATTGATAGCCACTTCCTCATGGGCCTGAAATTAATTATTAAAGCTCACACAGATAATACTTATCTGTGTTTTCCTGTATACCCAAGGAAGACACAGCACTGTCATCTGAAAGGGACATAAGTTTCCTTGGGTCGAGACACCCTTTACAGGAAGGCCAGGACTTTGCCTGTAGAAATGAAGGGTTGTAGGAAACAGGCACTGAACACCAAGAAAAACCCTGGGTCCCACTCTCCGCAATAAAACCAGAGAGGAGATCCCACTCTCCACAATAAAGCCAGAAACTCTAACTGCAAATTTCTGTTAGCCAAAAAAATTTTTTCTGTTAGCAAAAAAAATTTTTTACAGATGTAGACAAATTAAAATCTTATATAGTAAGCTGTGAAATAGCAGTGATGGTGGTGGTGATGTTGCAAGAATGACTAGTGGCTAGAATGATAGCCAAGTTAAAAAAGAAAAATGTTATTTAATGATATTGAGTATTTTAATACTGAAAATAATACACAAAGCTTGATCCCCTCTGCATCTAATAAATGCTTTGTCAGGGAAGACTGTGAATGCTCAGTAGAGAACCTCTAAGATCCTTTGTCCTGCTGAAATGGCATGAAGTACAGGGAGGCACCATGTCTCAAATATTTTTTTTCATAGGCGAGAGCTTTTCAACCCTGGCAGCACAAAAAATACAGGTTAAGATTTTTAAGTATTGAGTACTTCCAGAGTGTTTTCATGTCATTCCAGCCCTGCTCAGTTCATCTGCCAAAACGCATCTCTGTGGGACCGATTACAGCCTCTAAAAACCGATTGACCAGAAAATCAGTAAGTACTTTTTTAATCATTAGAGGAATACAATTTTTCTAAGTAAAAATAACTAGAATATTAAGATTAATGCTGATTATAACAAAATTCTTCATTTGCTCTGATTGCTCAGGTTTCTTAGCATCAACTTTATAAATGGTATTTTTATACCACCTGAAACTAATATATGCAACACTATGCTTACATCAGACAAATCATAGCTCAGGGGAATATCACAAACACCTGTGTGTAAAATGGGAAAGAATGATATTTTCCACCCATGTGGCAAACTGATTAAATGTTCATACTGTATTAACACTAAGTCCAACCCTAAGAAGAAAGAAGTCAAATTTATACAAAAAAGGTATTTTGGAAAAGAGGTCTTCTTTTACACCAAGAGAAAAATATCATGCACTGATTTTCATTAACAATATATATGTAATTTAAGAAAAAAAAAGACTACTAAAAGCCACCCAAAGCACATATATGGATGGACAGTATAATAAGTAATCAATATTTTATCAATTTCACTATAAATGTCTGATTATGTTGACTGAGCTTAAAAAGCGTAAAAAGTGCTATCAATGAGTTTAGGTCATAGTGCATAAGGAACTGTTAGACGTGTTCTTTCTCCCCACTGATTTATGTTTCTCTTTTCCTGAAGATATTGGTATGTGACACATGGCGAAAGTGAAAGCCGCTTTGGCAAACCGGTAACAAAACAACGATATGCTGTAATATGCTGATTTTACAATATAAGATCCCAGAATCCCAACTGGATTCACAAATAGTGAAGTCTCACTAATCAATTTAATGTCACTGTTTAACTACCTGCCAGGGCAAAATGGAGGGTCTTACAGACTTCGTAACTATAAAGGGCCATTTACACTAATCTCACTGAATTTCACTGTTTGACTCGAAATTCTTTGTATAAGTACTAAGTAAACCAGTCAGTTTTAATCACTTCAAGGTGATAAAGGTTACAGTAAGCTGATACACTACAAACGACACTCATTTACATCTTGAATATAATTAAATGATAGTTTATCTACAGTGAACACTTGTGGTTATCTGACCAAAACAGGTCAAAGGTTCCAGGCGTTTTCTCCTGAAATTACTCAGTGCTGCCTCTAATGACTGATAATTGAAAGCAGAGACTGGAAATATCAAATGTGGTAGGTGACAGATAAGCAACAGATTAATGCAAGTACTCTGTTACAGGACACTAAAAGGTCAGAGGCCCAAGGAATTAGCTATTGTGCTACTGTGAAAAGACAGACATCAAATAGCTGTTTACCTCATTCTTGCTCTTCTCTCCAACATTCAAATTCTAGTAGCATAAATTAGACTGTTTAAAGTGACTCACTTTTCACAAAATAAGGCAGCAAATATTTTGTAGGGTATGTGGGTAGGAGGAAGGTGATTCTAGAGAAGCATACAGGGGTAAAAACCCCACCGAAATAAAACAGCTATATTAGGTGTAAATATTTAATGAAGTGCATCTGAAAGAAGTTAAGAAGTATGTTCCTCAGAATGTCATTCTCAGTTGAAGAGACCAGATAACAGACTCTAAAATATACATTTTAAAGCTTTGTAACTT